ACGCTTGGCAGAAGAGGCTGACGGTGAAGGTCGAGGCCGATTTATGAGGGCCTGGCTAAAGGTTACGGCTTTCTTCCGCCCATTAAAGCTCCTAGGCGGCATTGCCATTCTCTTAGTCGCACTCATGATATGGATATCGATGCTCTTGACGGCAATTGACAAAGCCAAGAATTCTATGTGCAAACAACGTTGCGGATACATACTCAGTCGCATTGGGGTTTTCAATCCCTTGAACTGGGTATTCGTTCAATCAGCAAAGGTATTTCCGATCGACTACGCCGTCTTTACAGTAGTTGTTTTGCTGCTGTTTGGCAGTTCAGTGGTCGGGATATCTACCATTGGCATTCGCTTTCTATGGATCAGAATATTTCGGATCAGAATGGGGCACACGTCTCCACAAGCCCTGCTGCTGACCACTGCCATGCTGATTTTGACAATACTAGCTTTGGACTATTCGATCCCCATGCTTGCTGCACCCCAGTACGCAACTTTTGGACCACAAACATTCTGTGATCGCCCCCCGGGCCAGCAATCGGATTGTTTGACTAACAAACGCCTGATCAAGCCATGCTCGGAACTAACAGACAACACGGCTGCCAAGCAAGTCTGCACACCCAGCGTCACTAGTATGTTCCTCAACCGCGTGACGATAAGCTATCCCTTTTTCGGCACAGTATTTTTCTGGTCTCAATTTATCTTTCTCGGTAAGTGGGAACCTCCAGTCTTCATAAAATCTAGCCACAGGCTTATAAGATCTAAAATCTCAGTTGTCTACTTGCTCGTCTTGGTCACCTCTTTCATCCGCCATCCGAAACTTGATGAACGTCTACTGGACCAGGAAACTGAGGAGGCTGAGGAGGAACGGCTACTGACAAGCTCTGGGAGAGGTGTTAGTGACACCTATCATAGTGTCGGAGGACGAAACAACTTCTCAACCAGAGCAGGGGAGTAGGTTATTTGGACGTATATGGCCTTATCAGATCGATATCGAGGAACGGTGATAGTCTGGATGGTAACAGTTCGGTCTAAATTATCTATTGCCATGCGAAGGAAACAGTGGAACTTCATTAATTACATTATATGATAAGCTGTGATAATGTGTAATTTTCTGCGGTTTTGGTATGGGGTCTGGAAACGGAGAGGGCTCGAAGAAACCGCCCTCGAGTAATGTTACGACTTGAGGCGGTCGTTCAATAAAGCGAGGGCACTTTCGAAAGCCTTCACAACATCGACATCTGAGTCATCGTCAGCAAAATCATACATACAAACGGGTTTAGCTGAGACTGATTTTACGTACAGTGTTTACGTTTCAGTTCTAGATCTTCTTCAGATGTCTGAACATGTTTCATTTGTGTCTTAAATCTACAATAACATCAGTGATTGTGTTGAAGACTTCGCGGACTTGGGAGGACCAACCTTTTTAAAGCTCTGATTTCATCGCGCATAACAGTTGTCTCCGACCACGCCATGAAGATCTAAAAGAGAATATCAGATAAAGGTCACGAGATCAATGACGGCTATAAACACCTCAAGCAACTTGGCCACACGGTTACGTAAGTCTCTTTCAGCATTTTCATGCTTTTCCATAGAAGCGATGTATTCTTCTTGGAGTTGGTCCCAATCATAGTCCATTAGGTTTCCTGAAGGTGGAGACATATACTGCTGAAGGGTCTTCAGAGACTCGGTGCGAAGGTCGTTCTGATGCAGATCACTACCCGGGAAATTGGAGCCTGCAAAGTCCCTGTTTAGAGAAGTCATGCCGATGATTAGACTATAGCTTCTCGGGCTAAGAATCAGCGTCGAATAGGAGCAGGAGCAGTAGCAATAGATACAGAGAAGTGAGATCTAAATATATCGTGCAGACATGGACCGCGTGTTATTGCCGACCATGCTCACGTTCGATGCTCAACTAACTGGGTATGTACCAGGGGAACCCTGTCAAATGTTAGCATACGCACCATAGAAATATGCGTGGCTCAACTTACACCGCCTAGCGCTAGAACTTGCTCTTTTTGAGTGTATGGCAGAAGTACGCAATTTGTGAACTTAATCTATGGCTCAGTCTAGCATCGAAACTCCCTGAGGGGGAAACGAGATGAGTCAGGTGATCGCAACTATCCACCATACTACATCGCACATACTGCTGTCGATTGATATGTTTAGATAGGCCGAAAGTGGTAATCACCTGCAGGTCCATCTCACTGCGTCGAATTCCAATAACCGCATCATTCAGCTCCTGGAAGCCACTGATAGTTGCGATTAAGCAGCACTATATTAAAACCAATAGGCTTCTGCAAGTGCAATTATACGTTTCGCTAAGGTATTCAGTGTGTGTAAGGGTAAGCCGGTTGGTATGCTCAATTAACATGCCTCATAACAATACAGCGACCTATAATATTTGTTTATACTAACAACTTCTCCGTACTGAACCGAAGCTGGTAAATTCTCAGCTGCTGATACTCGGCTGTAAGTTCAGTGATACTGTTACGGATACGCACTTAAGCACAAAGGAGCGGTGTGATGATTACGACAACCGATGTCGCTTACGTAACATATATATATGTGCCTCATGTCAAACACCCAGTACATATATACGATTGGTCAGGTGACGTGACGCAAACGGCGGTCCCCTTCGTTGGCTTCAGATAAGTAAATCCAGTGACACTTATCGATCACATATCGTCCTATGTCGTCACTTAATCCGATTAAGACATGAGTGCCCCCCTTTTTCATGATTTGTTCATGCAACCTACGTGCTCGAAGCCAGACAGTCGAGTTGGTATTCCATCACCGGAAGCCCAAGGCCATGCGACTGTGAGCTACGGCAGTATCGATCAACCGAGAGTGAGACAAAGCTTTTTGAGATGAGCTGTCATACATGTTTTCGCGCTCCAGCTTCGCGAACCCGGTTTTTCTGCCCTACCTGTGCCCGTAGTCAGCTGTATCAGCTCCGGGTTGAGAACGCGAGGGTCCTGCTTGAGAGACAGTCTATTGGGGAACATATCCAAGCTAGAGTGACCCCTGAGACAACCCAAGCGGAATGGTCGGGTGGAATCAAAGAAACCGCCATTGCTTACCAAAATGGGCTCTCTGCCAAGCGAAGCTTACAGATGATCGCTAAGGGAGAAGCCGAGTCGTGTGAAAGGTTGAGGCTACTCGGTGATCAACTCGAAAACCTGACTGCTGAGATCAAGGACAAAAGACTTGAAATTTCCCAACGCAGGCTCGCACTAGCGCGACGGCACTCGGACTCTGAATCTGCACAGTATCAGCTCGGCGAGCGGGAAGCTGCAATTCTGGCCAACATCCAGAATAATACTAAGAGGACGGATCATCTCTGGCATTCGCTCCATAGCAAAACTGCAGAGGCCCGAATATTCCTCTGCCGAGAAGCTGCCAATCTTTATGGGCTACGGCGGAAGACAAGGAGTAAGGAAGGATTGTCCCAAGAGGTCTACACGATGGGTGGTATAGATATCATCGATTTGAGGGACATGAACGGAAAGTTACAGCTCTGCGACCTTTGATTTATATCAGTTAGTAATGCTTTGGACAGGTGTCACGCCAGCTTATATATCCACCTCCCTCTTCAATGTTGCTCACCTTCTCGTCCTTGTTTCGCATTATCTGTCTCTCAGACTCCCAGCGGAAATCACTTTACCTCATAAAGACCATCCTATACCCACTATATGCGCACCTTCTGCGTCCTATCTTTCACGAGATCCAAATTCCGTAACATATTCGCTACGTCATCCACCATCTGTACCGCCTGGAACTAGAACCGCATCGCCTCGCCCTTCCAGACCTCGGCCCCTCTCCATCGACAGAGCACTTCCGAAACTGGCTAGGGAAGACCCTGGAACATATGCACTATTTCTTGAAGGGGTAACATTACTGGCATGGAATGTGTCGTGGCTATGTCGAACTCAAGGTATAAACATAACATCAGAGTCCTGGGAAGAAGTTTGTAACGTTGGGAAGAATTTGTGGCAACTCCTTGTGGCACCACCTGCGCAGCCATCGACACTATCAAGAGCCTTTGCTGGACGCGACATACAGGCGAAGATGAGGGTATCAAAGGACTCACCCAAAACTACCATTCAGCGCACAATGTCATTCCCTATGCTAGGGCATTACTCGCATGGGACTGCACATTCCTTTCTGGGTGCTGTCGAGGGGGCTGAATTCATGCGCACATGGAGACTTCCAACTCCAACAAAGATCGTGGATAAGCTGAAATCAACTCTGTTGGGTGAAATGGCGAGTGCAGAATGGGAGCTGCTGGAAGGCGATTGGGACGACGCAAGTCAGGAACCGAGGGAATCAATGCTTATTCAACATCCATCCACCGATTCTACCTCACCGGAGCGACAGGGTAATACTAATAGCGGGAATAGCGTAAAGGATACAGTTGCCGGCGCGAGCAACCTCAGTGGACCTCGTGGACCCACTCGTATGAAGGGTACCAGTGGCTGGACCAAGCTGAGAAACAGGTAGTATTGAATTGATGAAATTCTACGAAATAGATAGATAGATTTCCATTAGCCAACAGCGCCTGCCAAGAAGTATATTGCACTTAGTATTCTTTTCCTCCCTTATCAAGAAATCTGGGTGAGAATCATCAGATACTAACGTGGCCGTACGGAGAGACCCCTTCGGCCGCACTTATATCTCTCCGAATTGGATTCGACTACCCCGTATGGGGTACTTCAAGGAGCTACGTCCTGCTCTTTACAGCATATTATTATGCCCATATAGAGTAGCAACTGATTCAATAGAGGTTATCCTAGTATATTCTTGAGCCTCAATAATAGCCATCTGAAACATCTGTGGTGTGCATCTCGTACGTCGCTCCTTCGAGATTATCCAGATTAGATTATCCAGATTAGTCAATCCAACAATCAAATGCGCAGCGGTTTGATTAGATAAGCGAGAACCACGGAACTGATTGATAAGATTATCTGGACAAACGAGCCGCGTGTCCGGATTACCGGCAAAGTCTCCCTACATGTCGAATAGGCGTCCTCTATTTAGACATGGTAGGTGCATCACGTCATTGAGACTGCTCGCTGCCAGAACTTCCGGTGTTATCCCTCTCGCAGAAGCTACTGTATGTGCTCGCTGCATTGTAAAATTGTCAACTGCTGACGCGACTTAGGCTGCTTCTGAACCGTTCGTGAGCCTGTGCCGGCGCCCAGTGCATGTTTTCAGGTCATGGATGCGGCGAGAGTACATCGTTACATGACATTTAGCCGAGAATGGACGGAAACCAAAGGCCGGGTCAGACCGACCCTAGTAGTTCAGGTAAGTTCAGTTCAAAGGGAATACAATGTGGGAGACGCACATATATCTCTCTTTTTTGCCTTGACCGGTCCAACTCCCAGCCTGCTCCGCTCCGCACGGCATATTTTCGTTCTCTACTAACGCGAATATTTGTCTGCAGGGACTGAATATATGTTCTCATTAATCTCCGATATTCCTGAATCTGTTTTGCGGACGGAGCTTTCCCGACGGAGTTATGCTCGGGCTTCTAACGATGACACCTCGACTTGCGGATCAAGGGAGCGAGGCGCCTATAACACGCCGATACATGTCTTTGCACTGTTCCTTATCCTTGTGCTTAGCACGCTAGGTACAGTTTACTTTCTCTTTGGCTTCTTGGGTGATTGGCTGTTAACCCATGGTTATATTAGCGTGCTCATTCCCCGTTCTTGCTCGTCGGTTCCCGCGCCTCCCAATCCCACGCCGGTTCCTTTTCCTTTCTAGACACTTCGGAACAGGCGTACTCATTGCAACAGCCTTCGTACACCTCCTCCCTACAGCATTTGTCTCATTGACCGACCCTTGTCTCCCTCGGTTCTGGAGCGAGACCTATCGTGCCATGGCCGGCTTTGTGGCTATGATTGCCGTATTCGTGGTGGTTCTCGTTGAGATGTTCTTTGCACTGAAAGGTGCGGGCCATGTCCATGGGAGCGAATACGACCAGTTGATCAGCGACGTCGGCGCAGATCTCGCAAGTGACGATCAAGAGGAAGACAATGACTACGGAAACGGATTGGCCGACAATGTCCACCTTGACAGCCTTGGGGAAGGCATGACTCTACACTCTCCCACGTCACTTGGAAGATCCCCGGTCAGTGGGCCTTCAGGGTCAAACATTAAGGATTCGGCTGTGTCTACCGAACTCAACGACAGGGAATTCGAAGAACCAAGTGCCTTCGAAAATACTCGCGGCAATTCCCATAAGAACCGGGATGAGCAGCCGTGGCATTCTGGTCACCGTCGGTCTCATGGTAGCGTACATCAGGGGACCGACCTCGAGTCATCCAGGCAAAATCCACAGCGCCAATTGCTTCAATGCTTGTTGCTCGAAGCCGGTATTCTCTTCCACAGTATTTTCATCGGAATGGCCCTCAGTGTTGCCACGGGTACATCATTCATCGTCCTTCTTGTGGCTATTTGCTTTCACCAGACTTTTGAAGGATTTGCTCTCGGATCACGGATAGCGTCTTTGATCCCTGATCTCTTTCCCCCATCATCGTACAGGCCGTGGCTCATGGCGCTTGCCTATGGAACCACTACCCCCATAGGGCAAGCTATGGGGCTTGTTCTGCATAACCTTTATGATCCAGCAAGTACGACAGGCTTACTCACAGTGGGAATAACTAACGCCATCAGTAGCGGGCTATTATTATTTGCGGGGCTTGTTGAACTTCTGGCAGAGGACTTCCTGAGTGAATCAAGCTATGCGACGCTCAGGGGTCAACGGCGTGTCGAGGCTTGTGTAGCCGTTGCAGGAGGCGCTCTACTCATGGCATTTGTTGGGGCATTTGCTTGAACATCTCCCAGGACTCCTCTGTTTATGAGGCATTGTAGCCAGTATATCCTAAGAAATGTCATCAAGAATACGACCCAGACAAGAGCTAGCTAATAAGATATCTAGGCGCATCTAGGCGCTTTTGGCTAATGGGTGTTTACAGAGATTTTCGCAGCAGCCGAGCGCTGTATGAGAAGCGAAGGTGAGCAAGTAGTATAATCTAGTAGCAGTATGACCATGTATAATACACGACAAAATGGCCATCAGCCCTTAACAGTAGTATTGAGACAGAACACTCAAGGCTTTGATTAAATATTACACTGCTGGTGACGGATTTTCTGTACTAGGTACGTCAATTGCAGTGCTTGTGCCAAGATAAACAGGATAAACAAGACTTTCCGACAAAAGAACCGAGTTCATGTATTTATTATATTGCATTTCGTCAGATGCCAGACCCACTCACCCTGACTTAAAACACGATGCGCAGTCTTTAGGCATCGGCAAGATCAGGGTATTTATATCATTTTGCCGTCCTCATATTGCGCGACAGCTTACTTTAGTTCACGAGGTGAAACTTTTTTAGCTTAGACGAGGGATTCCACTACCATGGCACTAGCACCACCACCACCGTTGCAGATTCCGACACAGCCGAGCTTGCCCTTCTTTGCCTTGAGAACTCCGAGCAGGGTAGTCAAGATCCTAGCACCACTGGCACCAATGGGGTGGCCAATAGCCACAGCACCACCATGAAGGTTGACCTTTTCTTCAGGTAGGTTCAGAAGCTTCATGTTTGCGAGAGCAACAACGCTAAAGGCCTCGTTGATTTCAAAGGCATCGATGGAATCTTGAGCGACACCTGCATGCTTGAGCGCCTTGGGAATCGCCAACGCAGGAGCAGTGGTGAACTTGCTGGGTTGGTGTGCGGCATCTCCCCAACCGAGAATCTTTGCAACAGGCTTGAGGTTCAGCTCTTTAACCTTGGCCTCGGAAACCAAGACAACAGCGGCGGCGCCGTCGTTAAGAGGAGAGGAGTTGGGGGCCGTCACGGTTCCAGAGCCAGGAATGAAAGCGGGCTTGATGCTTCGAAGCTTATCAGGGTTGAGCTAGAAGATAAAAGCCAAAGAGTCAGTTTGACATGAACGATCGGGACCAAGGATGCCTCACGTGGGGAAATGAGTTCTCACATTCTTGGGCTCATCATCTTGAGCGACGGTGACACCTGGCTTACCCCTGAAGCCGGGTAGTTCAACAGGTGCAATCTCTTCGTCGAAGAGGCCGGCCTTCTGGGCAGCCTGGGCCTTTTCGTAGGTCCGGATAGCATACTCATCCTGCTGCTCCCTGGTGAAGTCATGATCCTGAGCACACTCCTCAGCCTGCAGACCCATAAGCTCCTGCTTTCCCGCATCTGTCAGGCCATCCTTCATAATACCATCCACCAAGCTCTGGTGGCCATACTTGGCGCCATTGCGGAGGTTCGGAAGGTAATGCGGGGCATTGGACATGGACTCAGTACCGCCTGCAACAACGATGTCTGCATTTCCAGTCATGATGGTCTGAGCACCAAGAATGACCGCCTTCAACCCCGAGGCACAGACCTTGTTAACAGTGGTGCAAACGGTTGACTCGTCGAGTCCGGCGCCAAGAGCGCATTGTCTGGCGGGGTTCTGTCCGACACTGATTGATTAGGACCATTAGCATGCATCACGGCATAAGGGTAATCATGAACACAGCAGGCGAGAAAACTCACTTCGCAGAAAGAACGTTGCCGAAGAAAACCTCCTGTACATCGGAAGGCTTGATCCCATCGGCTTTGTTAAGGGCAGCTAGACATCGAAGCAGTCAGCGATCAGGGGCACATCATCCATCGCTTCAGCACTATAGGCACACCTTTGATCGCATGGGAACCCAGCTGCGGAGCGGTCTGGCTCGAGAGAGAACTGTGAAACAAGGAAACTAGGATCAGCTTCGCTGTGGACCATTTTATCTGAGAGCCTGCTGGCGGCCCGGTGTGAAGTCTCACCCCAGGAAAGAGCCCACTGGAGTGCGGGCGGCGGAGACAATGTAGACCGGAGGTAGGGAAGACATGGTGGCGCAAATGCGTGCTTTTGGAGGCAAGCGATTTCGGAAAGGGGATGAGGGAAAAAAGAAAGAGTTAAAAGGAGGACCGGCAGGCTATTTGAATAAAAAACAAATGAGGGTGAAATGGTAGCTCAGGCCACGAGGGAACGAACGGGATGAACTGTTTGCTTTCCGAGTCAGTCACTCGTTGGCCTGCCCGCCGCCGGCCCCTCCTTACAACAATAATAATTATTACCCTATTTTTTTCGCCTCGGGAGGCGGGGCGGCCACTGGCAGCCACGGACAAACGTACTACTTTCGGAGTAACTTGCCGGAGCCATGCAAACACGCCAAGCTCGGTCCCGGAGCTACTAGAAACTTATCGCCAAACCGACGCGAGCCTCTCTCTCCAGCTGGTGGACGAGGCCGAGAGAAAGGAAAAGTAAACCCCGGAAGATTCGCCTCTAGTCCAACCACGTTGGAAAATGGACGATCTTTACGATGAGTATGTCTCAATTGGTCACCATGCCCCTCATCCCACCTTGCGCACGGCTGATTATTCTCTTCGCTTTCCGGCAGGTTTGGCAACTATATTGGAGAGGTAGATGGGTCGGACGAGGAGTCCCCGCGTCATGAGGATGCCCATCCTCAGGCTTTCGCTTTTGAAGAGGCGTTCGGGGATGGTGACGACGATGAAGCGCATGACGTTGATGAGCAACAGTTAATGGATGTCGATGGTAGAGTTACCTTTTCCATGTTCACCTCGTTAGCAGGGTCCGCCTTACTGATACCAGTCACAGAGGGCCCGTCAAACGCGGTCATCCTTCACGAAGATAAACAATACTATCCCAGTGCACAACAGGTATATGGCGAGGATGTCGAGACTCTGGTGCAGGAGGAGGATGCACAGCCTCTGTCCGAGCCCATCATCGCCCCGGTCCAACAGAAGAAGTTTGCGATCGAAGAAGCCGAATTGCCTCCCGTCTATTATTCACGGGAATTCATGACGGATTTGCTCAGCTACCCGGACCAAACAAGAAACATCGCTCTCGTCGGTCATTTGCACCATGGAAAAACGGCTTTCATGGACATGCTAGTCACTCAGACCCATGATCTCACCGGTCGCCTCGAGAATCGAACAGGCAAGCGGAAAGAGGAACAACTACGCTACACCGACGTTCACTTTCTGGAAAGAGAAAGAGGTCTTTCCATCAAAGCGTCACCCATGAGCTTGGTGCTTCAGGGCACAAAGGGCAAATCTCACTTGTTTAATATCATTGACACCCCAGGGCATGTGAACTTTGTGGACGAGGTGGCTACTGCTTGTCGGTTGGTCGATGGCGTGGTTCTTGTAATAGATGTGGTCGAAGGTGTCCAGGCCAACACCGAGCAAATAATCAAGCATGCTATCCTTGAAGACTTGCCGCTTACATTGGTTGTGAACAAGATGGACAGACTAATCCTGGAATTAAAGATTCCTCCGAACGACGCTTATTTCAAGCTGAAACATGTGATCGAGGAGGTCAACACTATCATCGAGAACGTACTGCCTGGACAGGGCGCTGCAAGGCGGCTGAGCCCCGAGAAGGGAAACGTCGCCTTTGCTTGCGCCTCCATGGGCTGGTGCTTCACGTTGCATTCATTTGCTAAGATGTATTCTGAGACGCATCCACAAATTGAAGCAGCCGCATTTTGTTTGCGCCTATGGGGCGATATATTTTTCAATCCGAAGAGTCGAAAATTCACACGAAAAGGAGTGGAAGAAGGTTCTAAAAGAACGTTTGTTCAATTTGTTCTCGAACCCATATACAAACTTTACTCGCATACATTAAGCGAGAGCCCGGAGGACTTAAAGGAAACGCTTTCTAGCGTTGGTATTAGTCTTAAGCCGTCACAGCTCAAGACAGATGCAAAGACTTTGCTGAACCTTGTCTGTGAACAGTTCTTCGGGTCAGCAACAGGCTTTGTGGACATGGTTCTCCAGCATGTGCCTTCGCCTGCAGAGGGTGCTCAAAAGAAGCTTGATCGGTACTACACTGGGCCTCTCGATTCTAAGGTGGCGGCAGCTATGGCTGCCTGTGATTCCGATGGTCCACTGGTCGTACATGTTACTAAACTTTTTAACAGTTCGGACGGTTCAAAATTTCACTCCTTTGGCAGGATAATGAGCGGCACAGCTCGTCCGGGCCAACAGGTCCGTGTCCTTGGCGAAGGTTATACCCCCGAAGATGAAGAAGACATGGTTGTTGCGACCATTTCCGACACATGGATTGCTGAGTCTTGCTATAACATCCCAACAAGCGGCGTACCTGCCGGCAACTTGGTTCTTCTAGGAGGTGTGGATAACTCTATTGTGAAGACGGCGACTATCGTGCCTCTCACCTTGGAAGACGATGAGGATGCATACATCTTCCGATCAGTTCGGCATATAACAGAGTCCGTCTTCAAGGTTGCTGTCGAGCCAGTTAATCCGTCGGAATTGCCCAAGATGCTTGAGGGTCTCCGAAAAGTCAACAAAAGCTACCCGCTGATATCCACAAAAGTGGAGGAGTCTGGCGAGCATGTAGTTCTCGGAACGGGCGAGCTATATATGGACTGCGTGCTTCATGACCTACGAAGACTATATTCTGAAATGGAGATCAAGGTTTCAGATCCTGTTACACGCTTCTGCGAGACTGTTGTGGAGACCTCGGCTATCATGTGTTATTCCATCACGCCAAACAAGAAGAACAAAATCACGATGATTGCAGAGCCTCTGGATGAAGGGATCGCCGAGGATATCGAGAGCGGTGCTGTCAATATCAAAGACCCAATTCGCAAAGTGTCGCGCTTTTTCGAAGAGCGGTACGACTGGGACAAACTTGCAGCCAGGAGTATCTGGGCTTTCGGTCCAGACGAGATGGGCCCCAACATCTTACAGGATGATACGCTACCATCGCAGATCGACAAGAAGTTGCTTGGGAGTGTAAGAGATTCTATCACGCAAGGATTTACTTGGGGAACACGAGAAGGTCCTCTTTGCGAAGAACGTGAGTGCACCATGCTTCCCTTGA